TTTTGACCTGGAAAATATCAGAAGGAAGCTTTCGGGACGAAGCATCGCCGTCTTGAGGCAGAACTTGGGCAGGACCAATCTAGGGCTCTGGCGGAGCTGTTCTGCCGGGGAAACTTCCCTCCGGGATGGGGAAATCGAAGCCATCATCATCACCAACGATCCTCTCATCGAGAGGGGGTCAATATCCATCAACATCTTCACCAGCACCATCTCCTCTCAAACCCTAGTTCATCTCTTGTATCCGATCTCTGTCTCAAAACCTCAGATTGGTACCTGTGGGTTGCTAGTAGTGTTGATTATTCCTTCTAGTTGATGCTAGTTGGTTTATTCGGTGGAAGATCATATGTTCAGATCCTTAATGATAATTAATACTCCTCTGATTATGAACATGAATATGCTTTGTGAGTAGTTACGTTTGTTCCTGAGGACATGGGATAAGTCTTGTTATAAGTATTCATGTGAATTTGGTATTCGTTCGATATTTTGATGAGATGTATGATGTCTCTTCTCTAATGGTGTTATGTGAACGTCGACTACATGACACCTCACCATGATTTGGGCCTAGGGGAAGGCATTGGGAAGTAATAAGTAGATGATGGGTTGCTAGAGTGACGGAAGCTTAAACCCTAGTTTATGCGTTGCTTCGTAAGGGGCTGATTTGGATCCATATGTTTCATGCTATGGTTAGATTTATCATAATTCTTCTTTCGTAGTTGCGGATGCTTGTGAGAGGGGTTAACCATAAGTGAGAGGCTTGTCCAAGGAAGGGCAACATCCAAGCACCGGTCCACCCACATATCAAATTGTCAAAGTAACGAACTTGAATCATATGAGCATGATAAAAACTGACTTGACAACAATTCTCATGTGTCCTCGGGAGCGCTTTGCTTTACATAACAGTTCGTTCAAGCTTGTCCTTTGCTAAAAAATGATTGGGCCACCTTGCTACACATTTTTTACTTTTGTTACTTGTTCCCCTTTACGAATTATCTTATCACACAACTATCTGTTACCAATAATTTCAGTGCTTGCAGAGAATACCTTGCTGAAAACCGCTTGTCATTTCCTTCTGCTCCTCGTTGGGTTTGACACTCTTACTTATTGAAAGGACTATGATAGATCCCCTATACTTGTGGGTCATCAAGACTCTTTCCTGGCGTCGTTGCCGGGGAGTGAAGCGCCTTTGGTAAGTGGAATTTGGTAAGGAAACATTTATATAGTATGCAGAAATTTACTGTCACTTGTTACTATGAAAAATAATCCTTTGAGGGGCTTGTTCGGGGTATCTTCTGTTGGGGAACGCAGTAATTTCAAAAAAATCCTACGCACATGCAAGATCCATCTAGGTGATGCATAGCAACGAGAGGGGAGAGTATAGTCCACGTATCCTTGTAGACCGTAAGCGGAAGCGTTATGACAACGCGGTTGATGTAGTCGTACGTCTTCACGATCCAACCGATCCTAGCACCGAAGGTACGACACCTCCGCGATCTGCACACGTTCAGCTCGGTTACGTCCCATGAACTCTAGATCTAGCTGAGGTTGAGGGAGAGTTTCATCAGCACGACGACGTGATGACGGTGATGATGAAGTTACCGACGCAGGGTTTCGCCTAAGCTCTACAACGATATGTCCGAGGTGGAAATCTATGGAGGGGGCACCACACACTGCTAAACAATCAACTTGTGTGTTCTAGGGTGCCACTTCCCCACGTATATAAAGGAGGGAGGGGGAGGCCGGCCGACCCTCCTTGGTGCGCCCCCAAGAGGGGAATCCTACTAGGACTCCAAGTCCTAGTAGGTTTCCACCAAAAGGGAGAGAGGGGGAAGGAAGGAGAGGGAGAGGGGAAAGGAAAAGGGGGGCGCCGCCCCCCTCCTAGTCCAATTCGGACTCAAGGGGGAGGGGCGCGCGGCCTACCTTGGCCGCCCCCCTCTCTCTCCACTAAGGCCCATCGAGGCTCATTAGTTCCCCCGGGGTTTTCGATAACCCTCCGGCACTCCGGTTTTATTTGAAACTTCTCCGGAACACTTCCGGTGTTCGAACATATCTGTCCAATATATCAATCTTTATGTCTCGACCATTTCGAGATTCCTCGTCATGTTCGTGATCACATCCGGGACTCCAAACTACCTTCGGTACATCAAAACACATAAACTCGTAATACCGATCGTCATCGAACATTAAGCGCGCGGACCCTGCGGGTTCGAGAACTATGTAGACATGACCGAGACTCACTTCTGGTCAATAACCAATAGCGGAACCTGGATGCTCATATTGGTTCCTACATATTCTACGAAGATCTTTATCGGTCAAACCGCATAACAACATACGTTGTTCCCTTTGTCATCGATATGTTACTTGCCCGAGACTCGATCATCGGTATCTCAATACCTAGTTCAATCTCGTTACCGGCAATTCTCTTTACTCGTTCCGTAATGCAACATCACGTACCTAACTCATTAGTCACATTGCTTGCAAGGCTTATAGTGATGTGCATTACTGATAGGGCCCAAAGATACCTCTCCGATACACGGAGTGACAAGTCCTAATCTCGATCTATGCCAACTCAACAAAGACTATCGGAGACATCTGTAGATCATCTTTATAGTCATCCAGTTACGTTGTGACGTTTGATAGCACACTAAGTGTTCCTTCGGTATTTGGAAGTTGCATAATCTCATAGTCATAGGAACATGTATAATTTATGGAGAAAGCAATAGCGGTAAACTAAATGATCAAAGTGCTAAGCTAGCGGATGGGTCAAGTCAATCACATCATTCTCCAATGATGTGATACCGTTCATCAAATGACAACTCTTGTCCATGGTTAGGAAACTTAACCATCTTTGATTAACGAGCTAGTCAAGTAGAGGCATACTAGTGACACTCATTTTGTCTATGTATTCACACATGTACTAAGTTTCTGGTTAATACAATTCTAGCATGAATATTAAACATTTATCATGATATAAGGAATATAAATAACAACTATATTATTGCCTCTAGGGCATATTTCTTTCATCTTCACCTCGACCGGTAGAGCAAGAAGTTGCTCCTCAACCTACTGCACCTACTGAAAATATTTATTATGAAATTCCTTCGGGTATGATAGAGAAACTGCTAGCTAATCCTTCTCCATGAGATGGAACATTACATCCCGATATGCACCTAATCTATGTGGATGAAGTTTGTGGATTATTTAAACTTGCAGGTATGCTCGAGGATGTTGTCAAGAAGAAGGTCTTCCCTTTATCTTTGAAGGGAAAGGCATTGACATGGTTTAGCACACACCAGTAATTTTTTAGTGGTTATTCTAGTGGATCAAACTGGTGGAAAGGTAGGAACACAATAATTATTATGATAAAGGGTGGACTTATTGACAATCATACTGGACTATAATTTTGACCCCAAAGGAAACTACAAGAGTAACTCCCGACACTAACATGCTTAAGATAAGTGAGAGAAATTAACTTGGGGTGTCATCTCTGGAAAATTGTTATGTGTTCTTTAGGGGGAAGTCACTCTAAATTTTAGAGGAAGTCTTTTAAGAAGGCTTAAATTTATCATCAATGTCAACTATGGGTGGAGGAAATGCAGGAAGGAACAAATTCAATGAGAAAATATATAGTTCAGGTACTTATTATCATACAAAACTACCACAAGCCCATTGTTTGTAAGTGTTTTATTTATTTATTTAAGGAAATTTGGCTCATTGGAATATTATAATGTCCCTCTTGCTATTAAATTCTTTACACAAACAGAAATATACTTTGTGGAAACTCTCTCTCCTTGAATTTGCGGAAAGAGGAACTAAGGGCATGGTTTGCTAATTGAATACATTAATGTTTGGTCTTACAACAAGCTTCACATCAATAGAATAGCAGGTCATATGGTTTTATAAATGAAGCAAAGCGGTCATCTAAAAATGTAAGTGTAAAATATTTTGCATTATTATTGTATACATTAACATTGTTTTGTTGTTTGCAATGATAAAGTCACATTGATGGAAGTGAAAGCTTGGTCATGTTTTAACTTTCATATGAAAGGAACGTTTGAAGCTTCCTCTGTTTTAGGAGTGTAACTACATAGAGTATGTTTTGAAACGTTTCCTATGGAAAATTGCAAATTGTTAAAGTACCTGGAACCAAACTCGGTGAGGAATTATGTTTGAACTCCTGTGGAGAAAGGAATAATAATGGTGTTGAAATTTACTGTATCTTCATTATGCAATCATACCTTAGCTTTCAAAATTTATGTTGCAAATTTAAGTAGTGGGAGGAAAGACGAGCAGCTAAGGGAATCTCCTACATCATACTATAACATTGTGGAAAGTGCATCACAACATGTCACTTATTCTGGAATTTATATTAAAGGTAAACGTTTTGAGGAAGCTAGTATTGTATCTACAAGATGAGAAACAATATTCATTTTTTTGTAGTACTAATTATTAGGAATTACTAATATTCGAAATACCTCGTTATGGAATTATACATGTATTTATGCATGAAATTACTTTACATGGTTATTATGGAATTATCACTTGTTGAAACGTATTTAAGTTGTATGCTTAAGGAAGCTGATCGATTATCGGTGAAATGCAATATACTAGTATTTATATTGAAAAGACTATCCAGGTACAGTGATAATTGAAAGAAGCTAGATCATATAGTTAGATTACAGCTTAATATCAATCTACATAATTAGAGGAATTTATACTATTATGGCGCGTTGCTCATAAGCGGCTACTCCAGAGACACAACAGGTAGAATCCGTTAACAGACAAATTTGATCGTGATTGGTAATTTGATCTTGAGTCTATCCTGAAAAATAGTTAAAAATATTATGAATCTTATTTGTATAAGAGGTGAACTTTTTGAAAAGACAATATAAGAAAGTACCTATCCTTAGCCTCTGATTTGCGAACTATAAGCTATACCATGGATAAGCGTTGAGGGATATGGGTAGACCACAAAACTATTCCCAACACAGACATGGCATGAATCATCCAAAGTTTATTTTGTGAGCACTGGAGAAATGTCTGGCCGCCGCCACCATCCCGTCGGCTGGACCATATTCATACGTGGTGGTCCGGCCGCCGGCGCTCGCCGCCTTGGCCTTAGCTGGGCGACGAAAGCAAGCAAACCAAGACCCCACCACCGACCAGAAACCGGGGCTGGATTTCTTACCGTCTCCCATGGAACCGATCCTCTCTAACCTTCACGTTTGTTCTTCTACTTAGTACTAGATGTTCTCTTGTGCCGATGAGGAATTGCTGCCGCGGGGCTAGCTTCATATAGCGTTGCTTGCTTGGCGACCACGGTGAATGGTCTCTACACCTGGACAAAATGGTGCTTGGCCGGTCAGCATGACACTCGACTTGCTGTCCAAGATTGTACTCCTCGCCTCCGTTCCAAGAAAGAAATAAAGACGATACTCCTAGCTTTGAACGTTCCTCGCTGGCTGCATGCACAAGGGGCCAGGATAGCTGTCAATCAATGCATGCAAAACGTCAGTGTAGCTGCAGGAAAACGGTTGGATTGATCGATCATTTTCAGGCCAACTCCAACGCGTGACCCATTTCTACCTCAAATCGTCCGATTACGTCTGTTTGGAGTAAAACGGACAAACCGAACGACCCAACGCATGGAAGCATACGGACGTTTCGTCCTGTCTGTGTTCGCTTTTGCCCCATTTTCAGACCAAAGTTGCTCTCGATTTGGGGCCAAAGCGGACAGAAAGCGGACGTCTTCGCGTCCTTGTCGTCCGTCTGTGTCCACCCTCGGCCCCACCTGTCACACTCTCCTTTTCTGTAGCAGGCGAGGGAGGGCGAAGGAGAGGCAACGGCGAGGCGGGGCGGGGCGAGGCGAGGCGGGGAGGGCCAGCGGGCGAGCAGGCGAGCAGGCGCGCACG